CCCCCCCACCCCAACCTCCATTCTCTGTGATAAGATATGTCTTCGAGTGGCCTTTCCATTGGGCTTGACAGTTTTGACAAGCTGTGGGGTTTTATTTTTGAACTAACTCTCTTTCTTAAACCTATGCCACGCAATGTCGAGCGACTAATTTAAAGACGCCCTCTTAAAAAGAAAACATGTCGAAATTAACTACAAGTCATTTCTTAGTGAAACTAAATGTAACATCCGATTTGTCCATATTGTATACCTTTTGCTTCATACCAATTATCTGGATTGTTATGAAATTCCTACTTTTTTCTTCGCCAAAATGTGTGACTCTTAGAGCAATCTATGTGATAAACGATCGCACTAAATCCAATAACCGTCTTGTCTCAAATGGAATCAATCATGTTGACCTACAATGTGCGTCTGGATATGGAAAATATATATAGAAATAAGTATATATAAGATAAAGTGCAAGTATTGGTCCTTTGAACCAACTGGCCTAAGGTACACTTTCCGGCCAAATGTCTACCAGATTTGATTTCCCGAACAGGTGTCATGGAAATCATGAAATGTCAATCAATACGGCAGAATCTTAAAAAACTATTTGCTCTTGCCAGAAGTCATTAAGTTGTACCCTCTCATAACGCTGATTAAAGCAAATTTGTGAGCCAATGGTGTTACTTTATCAAATGCTCAAAATTTGGTACGAGTTTCAACCTTGTTTGTTTTATAATTTATTAAACACTATAGCAAATGCGGAAGGCAAAAGATTCTCAAACCTACATTAACAATCAGGCACAACGCTTGTCACCGTCTGCTTCAGAATGTGAAGATCGACAAGTTGAAATGATTATTACGAACATTTTCCCTTAAGAGATATGTAGTTGTTTAATATTGCTGTACCATTATGACCACAAAAACGCGTATCCCTTAAGTTTTTTATGGGAATATATTTTTACGTTACGATATTTGAATTGAGGGAGATATTTCCTAAAACAATGACAATTTTTACTTTGTTTACTTCAAGGTGGTATATCGTCATGTTGACACTAACATCGATATATTGTTCTCAGCGCCCCACCCTGCAACCTTAGCCACCTTCAAATACAATTCTTCATTGAAATACAGCAGCGTTCTGAAGTCACAAGAAAATTCACATTTCGTTCCTGTAAAAGTATTTTCCGGAGTGACGCCCAATAACACTGAATGATCAACAGGTCAATAAAACGCCTGCCACGTGGTGTCTCTCGCTCCTGTCACCCTAATCGTCAATCGCAATAGGAGTGGGAAAATTCCCTTCCAACTGACAGGCCCCAACTCGTCTACTGGAATGGAAGTAAGCAACTTTATTGGAAAGAACTTCAAAGTCTGTAAAGAATTCTTATTAATCGTGAATCAAGAGGAACTATTCAAAATACGAAAGTGATGGATTTCAATTCTGATAATCTTATTTTCTCTAGATCGGATAAGTTTGGTATACCCTCGAGGAATAGTCAATTTACGTTTACGTTTAAAAAATGTTAGGTAAGTTTAATTTAACACGAAAACTTTCACTCTTATTGCGTTTTCTATTAGCTAATATGCTCTCAGAATTAAATTAAACGGTTTCTGCTTTACTTTACAAATACTTCCCCAATTTGAAGTCATTTCAAGTAAAAAAATCGATTTTACCCCCAGGGAAAATTACATTTGCAACAATTATTAAAAAAATATGCAAGCTATAAGATAATTTTATTAGGACAAAAGAGCTAAGAACTGAATCCGAGAAAGAATTGATTAAATATTTTCAAACTATTATTATTGGGATTTGGCTTAGCAAAACACGGCGTGTAACTGCGCTGATTAATTCGATGGTTCCACATTTTCACACATTCAAGTTAGTCTGTCTACTTTTTGTGTATCACTCCAAATTCAATTAAGCTCGCTGAAATGTCATCAGCGATTAACCGCAATAAAATCATTTCGTTTTCATGAATGCCTCAAATTTTCCCAGTCTAGTTGTCAATAAGGTGCCATTTTGTCTAGAACTGAAATGAAATAGGCCGATGGAGACAAGACAAAATGTCCGACAAAAATAAAGGCGAAAAAAGTGCGTTTTTATCTGGAGTGGGAAAGTGACTAAAATCTAGCAACTCTGACATCAGAAAGAGTTAAAGAAGAAGATATAACAGAAAAAATAGGAAAAGAAATCCGATTATAAAAGCCTAAAACCATTTGGAAGCACTCAATTTACTCAAAAGGTAGTTTACTAGTTCAAGTTCCGATATTATAGTTAAGGATTTCACCTCTGCATAACTGAATAAATTATAGCCCACATTGCCCAGTGTCTAGTAATCAATTTGTCGTGATCTTTGAAACTGATATACTTCTTCCAAATCTCGAAATTTCAAGGCGATCCAAATTAACAGGAGTTTAATATATTCTCACAACCAGATAAGTCAGTATATGAAGCCACTGGAGTTTATTTTAACACGATCATAAAATTTTTACTTCACAGTAAATGTTTTTCTTATTAGATCGAAGTTAAGATGACCAAGAACCGGATACTTTGAATGAAATCACCGAACCACTTCTTTAAAGACTTTGAATAAATCCTAGTACTAAAATAGCAACTTATTTAGGGAAAGGATTATGATTCCACTTAAATTAAAAGACAAAGAAGAAATTCTAACTACCCTCAGACATCGCGAAATTGCGTGCTATGCGTGCAATTGTAGCCGATTCTGATTGGTAGTACGGCAAGTGGACGAGTGCGTATCAGGTTTAAACTCAGCACTCTTGGAAGAAAAGTTCCTTTTGGTGGATCGTGAAACATTTATATTTATTTTAAGAAGTTATTCTTTGTGGAGGTGGTATCTAATCGATACCTCTAAGGATCGTGTGTAATGCGTCGAGTAAGGTAAGTTGGTTACCGATTCCATAAGACAACTAACCAGAGTAAAAGGATGTAATGACCTATTAGTTCTTAATAAAAATTTCAATTGTGTAATTTATTAATTCAATGCCTTCTAACAACGTGTTTATGATATTTTTACAATAGTAGTAGACCCATCGAAATATTATTGTGTACTTATGCTTCTTATGGTTATACTTGATCATTTAATGCAATTTATTCTTTTATTCTTTAATAAGTCTATTTGGTTTACTTGGAATGTTCAGTTAATTAGGAAAATTGGAAAATAATCAAACATTTAAATCTAGGAAATTTCTTAACTTAGATGACATTTTGAAGTTATGCAAAGTTCAGTATTTCATTTAATTATAGTTTCCAATATTTCTATTATACAATTTTAAAATATCAAATGAACAATAAACCCTCTTTCAATTGTTCAGCATTCAATAGCACTTTTTATCATTTCTTTTATCAAACATTTTTGAAAATTTATTTTATGTGCCGATTCCAGATAACAACGGTTTAAGCCTATTCATGCATGAAGGAGGCTTATGTCATTGGAAAAAAATTCAGAGGGAAGAGCTTAAAAAAATTAATATGATAGGCAGCTTTAGAAACATAATTTACGCTTTGCATACACCAAATCATTCTAATCGCATTTGAAGTTCAGTTGGATCATCTACCATACTGTTGAACGAATGAAATTTGCAAGCCCACTTTCAACAATTTTGCGGTCATATTTAATAATTAGTCCTCTGAAGAACTTGTAAGGAAAGAAGAATAACAAATTTATTTGCCTGAGTTACACTTTCAATTGAATTGAGATCAAAAATTGCAAATAAAAGGCAGGACGAACTTCGTCTATTAACCACTCATCAAAATGAACTATGCATTAAATGTTGATGAGTCAATATGTTGTTAGTCCTAAGGTCAACATCTGGCTCTGTCCGACAGAATATGCGTTTCCAGCATCACCTTCACTTCCGCAATTGAATGCCGGATTTGAAATTTCCAACGCAAATCGGCGTAAATGTAACAACAATGTCGGTGTGTTGAGTTAAATCTTCACATTTTTCTTAAGATTACACAGGCTAAATTCATCTTTTAATGCTGCCTCAAAATTTGTTCAAATGAAATTTATTAAGGTAATAATTGCAGTTAATTTAATTATCTTTTGCCTAATTTTACTGCTATATATGATCTAAATGACTTAATATTGACGCATTATTTGTATTGTTTAATATATTTTTGAATTTTTATTCAAATTTGCAGGAACCCAACAAGCCCTCAAGTCTTTTTCCTATACGCTCTCCTCCTATCACTCTTACCATCAGTATCTCCGGAATATTTTACTCAAACCCCCAAATTACTCAGGCGCTTTCTGCGAGATCAGTTCCCCATTCGACAGTCAACTCCCATTTCCATAACTTTCACAAAGCCAAAGCCACCGGTGCCACAACTAAGTCCCCTCGAATTGGCCATCGATTCAACTTTTGGTTTTGTGGCAAGCGAAGAAGCGTCTGAAGCAGCATGCCAACGAATTCCGGGATTATCTAATCATCAACGCAACCTCTGTCGAAGTAATCCAGGTCTTATTTGGGCTCTTGTGGATGGGACACAGTTGGGATTGTATGAATGTGTACATCAGTTCAAGTATGATAGGTGGAATTGCTCGATGGCTCGAGTTGTACTTGGGAAACCACGAGGTGAAGCTTTCCTCCTCAATGGCGATAAATCATCAGCTGCAAATCTAATTGGAAGTCTTCAGAAGACATTAGTGAAAAGTAAGTTTGCACTCAACATTAGCAATCATCCCAAAGCTTTTTTTCCTGCAAAATTTTAACTTAAATCAATGTCAAGGATCACGTTTCTGGATCAATAATTTTTTACCAAAGACCATGAGAGTGGATCTACTTTAAAACTATTTTATTCCTCATTACTTTTTTTTTCAATAATGTTTATTTGAAAATACTTGGACTCTTTAAAAAATTGAAAGAATCCATTTGCCTGCCTTAGAGGAATCGATGCATAAGTTTTCCTAATTTAAATAGCCCTTTCACGAGGCTTGAATTCGTATATTGATTTGATCTGGTTCAACAATAATGACAAAAGATAACTCAATAAACATATATATTCTTACATTTCAGCCCTCCCACTGTTAAATGGTTAAATTATAAGAATATTACACAATTGGCCTCCATTTTCATTTCAATAGCATGTTCAAACCCTCCTGGAGGGTTAGGAAAGCGTGGTGGAGGGGGGGGGGATGGATAAATCGATTTCAACAAAACATCGATCAATTTTAAGTAAAGTAATTGGTTATTACTCTTAGGGGATGCTCGTGTATGAGCTATATATTTGAAAAAAACTTCTCAAGGGCACACAGATGAACGAAACACACATATAAAATGTTAAAATTAGAAAGGAACTTTGAAAGCGTGACATTTTTGTGACAATAAGAGCTGCTCCAGAAGAATTACTGCAATAATTAAGAAGACTTCAGCGTTAAATATGCCTTCACGATAGTTAAAAATAAAATTGATGCATCTAAATACTCTTTCATTGAGAACCCATGTATAAATCAGTAGCACATCCGTGCTGATTAAAAATACACAATTACCTTGTTAGTTTGAGCATATCTAGCCCATCTATGCAGTATGATCGCCTCTGCTTGATGTGGTGAACAGGTGGATTTCAGCCTAGTTCAATGTGTCCTTGACATTTATCTACCTTTAAAAAATTGAGACATCTGATTGGGATTGCCTTGAGCGTAGCTTGGCTTTAAAAGCAACCGTCCACATTCACTTTCCAATTATCAGTCTCGTATCAAGTTCAAATTTGTCTCTTTGAGAAAGAAAGCACTTTGAGGTTTTGGGCATTGGGTGAGGGTGAGGGTGGTGATCTTATCTTTAGAGTTAGGAAACATAAGTAGGGTGTTACCACCTCAGAAGATTTTGCCACAACAGGACAAATTAATGAACACCCAACTTTTGAACTTTTAACCAATAACATAAACGCTAGATTAAGGACCATCAAAGATTCTGATATTTCATGCTTTTAATATATATAAGTAATCAAATGAATGCTTAGCCTTTCACTACTGTTAAAGAAATTCGTCAGTATAAAACAGTACTGATTAACATTGAATATATGTTGCTACTTTCCTTGATGTAGAAATTTTCATTTAGTCCTAAGGCAATTTAACTTATCAATTAAAATTTATAGCCGCACTGAGCTCGTTTTATAAAAAGATTTTTTTAACAATACCACAATGAAATTTACTTTAAAGCTAGTTAAAACAACGAGAACGTGAAAAATGTACAAATAAGCAAATAGTTACTTTTTGCAACTTTGTTTCGATGATTAAACATACTAGAATACCTGTGATGCTCACTGTGATGATCAACTAAAAGCATGAAAAAATTTGAAGGTCCAATGAGGAACGCTGTTGAGCATAAATGAAGATTGAGGTCAGAACTTCTTAGATTTATCCCCTACGCTCTGATTGACTTCACGCCTGTGGTTTTTCAGGACATTACGACCATATCCAATGCATATGTATGCAACCATTTTCTTAGAAGAGCTATAAGTTTGCTTAGCGGAGCTGAATTACTAACTAAATACCTTACACGAGGTCACTTTATTCACTCCTTTATCCATTTCAAAGTTTCTAAAAGTGTAATTTGTTTCATTCACTAATTGCCTTGCGTTTGTTTACACGCGATTCAAGACCCAAGCAATGCGAATACAATATTTTGTTCAAAAATGAGTGAAAAATCAAGAGAGAGAGAGAGAGAGTGCGAAATGGAGCCCAAATTGGATGAAGTCAGCCTTGCTTGGTAACGCATGCGCGAGTGAGAAGAGTGGACTGTGCCGAAGGCGTTAATTTTCATGGTGCTGCTTCTAGTCAAATTATGACTCATCTACTAAAAAGCCAAACAGTGCACAAATGGATTTGATTTTATCAAGAATTTATCTGGACTTCTTATTAAACTTCAACAAGTGAATATGATGGCATGTGGTCTACCAAAATCGAATGGCACCTCACCAAACAGGCAATTTTAGAATTTAAATTTCGAGGATAGTCATTTGCAGAGAAAGCTTTAAGGTAGGTTTATACAGGTACGACATTTAGCTTAGAGAAAAGGATTGTAGAGGCATAAGGTAGTATAAGTTGAAGTTGAAGCCTATTCTAACTGAAAGAACATTTAGATGCTACATGATAAAAGCAGAAACCATTCGATGGCAAGCTACTTAAACAGGTAGGTGTGGGGTTGGAGAAGCAAACTGAGTTTGAATTTGTCATCCGTAGGAAGTAGGATTTGCAGGAGGGACGTTAACAGACAACGCTGGTATGCCAAAAATGTCCAAAAAACTGAAATTTAACTTTTTTAAAGCATTACTATATTATCCTGCTTTTATCAGCTAGTGAATTGGGGTTTCATTTACCTAATTGTATTTACTTATTTATTTATATCAAATGGCAGGCATTTTGATAGTTATCATTAGCCCTTTAGTTGACTTCAGGCTTCACAGAGGGGAAGTAACATCAAAGTGAAACAAGTCGAGAGGGAGAGGGGGAACAGAAGAGAGTTTCAAAGATGTAAAAGAGACAGACACAAAGGTAGAAAAAAGGTGGGGTGAGTACCGCGAAAGTAGTCGAATATGACATACACTGGGGCAATGGTGGTTCGGAGTCAGAAGTCAACTGCCGGTTAATAGACTTTTTTGCCGTCTGAGTATACGTTGCCCATGGTGCACCAAGTGGAGGTAAGTCTATCACACACCCATTTGCCTAATTGTTTACTCTTCAAGA